AATGTAGTTCGCAACCATCTCTGTTGCAATACGAGGGAGCTGAGGTTGTCCAGAAGTGTCTTTAGGCATTGCTCCGGATCTTTTAGGGATGTGAGAACCCCCACAGATCTGCAGAGAGTCTGTATCGTGGCGCGAAACTTCGTCCATGCTGGGCATCGCTTGACGCTCTTGTAGCAACTCCGATAGAAGGTCGCCCCGTACTTGTCAGGAATGCAAACTAGTCGGCAGACTTCGCGTTCAGTCAGTTCTGAGATGTATCGTCGGTCTTCGTAGAACTGAATATCTGCCTCATCGAGATCGCTTCGGTATGTTGTGTTTCCGTCGAAGAAGCGCATACGATATGTGTAACGAAGAAGCGTGAAGAACCACATCCGAGTCAGCTTAAGCAGCTTTGTGATCGTCTGTGCTGGATCCTTCCAGAACGAGGCTGTAGCTTGCTGCAAATTGGAGTGAACGTTGTCTTCTGGCATAGGCATGGGGTACAGGACCTCGCGAAGCCAAGTATGCTTCTTCAAGAACGTCTGTAGCAAGTATCGTCTTCGAATGCGTGTAGCCATATACGGCATTATGAGCCTACTTAAGGTCTTTCGGTCATGGGACGCGATGTACCAGAAGTCCAACGATTTGTTCGGTTTATCTGGAATGACCTCCGATGGGATGTGATGCAAAGACTCAGAGACCTTAGCTAGGCCGAAGCATACAACTGGAAAGCGGCCCATCATCGATAAGGCGTGCTGTAGTCAGCGAGACTTCGGCAGCCAGCATCGATTGGGGCAGAATGTTTCGCCTCCAGATCGACGTCGCTGGTCAGTAGGGCCTCGAGGGCCCCAGCGAAGAGAGGAGAACAGCACGTATATCTGTGGCGTGTAGGTTACTGATAAGCTTTGGTAGATCGACTTGCGTACTGGAGCACGGTCTTTCAACGGGCGCTCGACATCTCGTAGAATGACTTGACGAGCAGAGAGAGCTGGCGGCATGTGGTATTCAGTGCACGTTTTGAACGGAAATGCATGCCTTGAACTCATTGATTCCAGCGATTCGTTATTCAATCAACGTTACTCGCGCAATCTCGTCGCCGCAGGATCAAGCGTCTTGACGTCCGCCGCTTTGGGTGCAGTGATGCCGGGTGCGGGGTCGTGGGACCAATCACCAGGTGTCACGAGGTGTATCGACAGATCAATCATGATCATAGACCGCAAGGATATTACGCGATCTGATGAGTAGGGAACACCACGACTTTCATAATGCCATATTAGCCATCAGAATGCACAAGCAGAATTGGCTATGCTGACATTTCAACCACTTGAACAAGTCATCCTTAGAGTAGAGCAGACTCAAGAGTATGAGTCCGGAAAGCAAATTGCTCTGGTTGGGATAGAAATTACTAACGCAAAAGTTCACCCATAGCAACATGATATCCTGTCACTTCCATAGCCCTCTATTGATACTGTCGCGTTTACCGTGGTTATATTTTGTCATGTCCGAGTTTTCCTATCATTTATATCGTCTCAAACATCAAAGGATCTCTGTCGCACGGTTGAGTGCAGGCATCATAGACAGAATAATTTAGAGGAAATGTACGTGTTTTTGCTGAATGCATTGTCCTACCTAGTTCTATATGGAAAGGTCACTGCACTGCATAACCAGTGAAGATTTTAAGGGTAGATGTAGCAGACTCTATACGCTTACAACCAGAAGACCTCTTTGTCTACTATATCATGCCTAACGTCCTCTACCCTCCTGTTGCGAACGAAGAAATGCGACGGCTGCTTGTATACCACTCACACAAGCCTCATCCTCGGTAATGCATCCTTGGGCTTCAGCAATCACGGTTCCTTCGATTCTGACGCTGCACACGAAGATTGCACGCTCGTCTCCCGAAAATACCGGTTGGACATCAATCTCAAGCTTCGAAGAGCCAACCAGGCCTTGTAGTTCATCTCTCGGGTGCACAACGTCCAAAGTGCCTTCCGCCATACGTGCAGCGTAGTATTTCAAACCGATGCGCTCGAACAACTTCTCGCATTCTGAAAGATCGCCCTGCGAATCATTGAATACCGCACCAAAGACGCTCTCCACCAGGTCGGAGTAAAACTTGTCAGGGCCCAAGCGAGCCAACAGTTTCCACGGATATGTCGCACCCTCGCTGAGGATCTTATGTATCTCAGCACCACATTGTTCAAAAGTGTGGCCAGCGTTCTTATGAGCCTGCACTACATCTGGAGAGTGGTGACGCATGAACTGCCATAGTGGCACTTTCTCGAGGTGTCGCACCTCGCATGGGCGGTGATCTGGGCCCGTTTCGATGCGGACTAGATCTCTGCCCATGCTGAAATGAAGACAAAGATAGCCGAGTATGTTCTTGTTCCCAAGGGCTGCTTTGATGCGAGTCATCTGTCCTTGGGACAACTCAGGTAGGCAACGCGAGAGGAAAGTGGAGATGAGCACATCCAAGACTACATCTCCCAGGAACTCAAGCCTCTGATAAGACTCCGTCTTAGCATCGATGCCACAGGAAGGATGCGTCAATGCTTCCAGCAGCAACAATCCATCTTGGAAGCGGTAGCCAATCAGGGTCTCAGCTTCGGGGTCTCTCGGACTGTTGGACTTGACCGATATTCGCTCTGGAAACTGAGGTACAATAGCGCTGATCTCAGGAAGGAAGACGTTGGTGCACGCTCTCGCCGCTCTGAAGCCTGAGTCAATGTATGCAGCACCGATAAGAGCTTCAACGACATCGGCCAAGGCTTTGATTCCGAGTGTTCGCTCCTCCGCCTCTTGGTCTGCGTCGGAGATGCGTGGAACTGACCATTTACGCCGCAGCGGGTCTGTCAAGATGTACGAGCCTAGTCCCTTTGCTATAGCAGCTCTGGCGAGTCTGGCGTTCGATACAAGGCTGTCTTTCCGCTGAGAAAGGTACCCTTCTGGCCAGTTGCCGTGATCTGTGAATAGCTGGACAGAAGTTTGGAATTTTAGTAGCGCGTCTCCAAAGAACTCGAAGCGCTGATAGTTGGTTGCCCTGCCAGCAGACGGCGCAGAGTTTGCTGTCACAATGTGCGATAGACTGCAAAACGGAACGTTGGGCAGGATCGTTTCCTGCAGTTGGTGGGCTACGGTAGAGGCCTCAATGTGCCGCCAGAGAGATGGAACAAACAAGTTGAATATCGCGAATCTATAGTCCAGAATATCGACTGTGCATTCGCGAGCCCGAAGTTGCACGGCTGCCGATGGTCTTCCTAGATCGACAGCCGGAGCAGCAGCAAAATGGTTCGTGAGCGCATTCGGCGCTTCAAAGTTCCGACGCTTGATGAGGGGGACGCACACTACTTCCGGATCGAGCTTTTGTTCCGGTTCGCTGGTCATGCAAGAGAAGACCAATGGTTTTCCGTTCAGCTTGGTAGATCGGACAAGTCCCTGGATATCCTCACTACCACTCGTTAGGGCGTCGAGCATGTCTACACGTCCTTCGTATGCCTTGAGCCAATCCATCAAATGATTCTCTTCGATGTCTGGACCGAGGAGGAGCACAAAGTCTGTCTTGTGACTGACGGTCTGATCGGAACGTGTCGACTTATCTAGGAGCTGGGTGACAGCCCTTAGCTGTTCTAGCATGTCAACGCTTGCAATTGACTTCCGAGCTTGGTTCCCGAAGCTGGCTTGGAAGATAGTCGCTGAATCCCAGTATAACAAGACATCTGGAATATAGGATAATCTTGTCGGAGTCGTGAGCCTCATTGACAGCTTCTCATGCGTTCGATTGCAACTGACTGTTATCGTGGTCTGATGCAAGTCTGGAGTTGCCCATGCCCGCGCCATCTGAATGAACGGCCTTATCTGCTTGCTCCGCAATGCCTCTTTTAAGGGTTGTTCTGTGTTCGCAACATGGTCTTTCCACTCGTGTGTCAACGGGAGAAGATGGTCATTCAAAAGCCCAGCCTCGAACAGAGCGACGTAACACTGGAAGGCCGCATCTCTCATCGCTGCTCGCTCGGTTCGCCATTCTCGCCGCCCATGAGTAGATCGAAGTGAAGATTTGACACAGTTGGGAAGTGTCACAGTGCCGGTAATCAGCCCGCTATCTTTCTCCCTGAAAGAGAACACTGGGCGCGTTTCGGCATATCTCTGCCGAGGCATAACGTCGCAAAAGTGATGAAGATGTGACATAGCCTTCTCAGCTGTCAAATAGGCTCTGCAGATCTGGTCAGATTTTTGATGGAGAATCCAAATGTAACATACCCTGTAGCGCCAACGCAAAGCCGGTCATCTACCGACTCTTGTTCATTCTCCAGTAACGCCATTCTTGTTCTCGCTCGATCATCGTCTTGGTACATCTTGGCTAAAGCGTTCTCAAGCTCTGGCCAGCTATCGAGCTTCGTCTGAATACTGTCTGTGGGGACCATGATGACATACTGAGATGCGTGCATCCTGGCGCGGCCGCGGCGTTGAATGTATGACTTGAGGTTCGAAGGCGCATCGAAGCATACCACTAGATTGCATGCGGCCACATCGATCCCTTCTTCGAGCGCGTCCGTGGCAATGACGATATCTTTCTTCCCAGTGCGAAATTCAAACATAGTGTCTTTCTGTGCTTCCTTATCGAGCAGCTCACATAAGGCGAGTTTGCCGTGCGAACTGTTTGACAAGCCAACAAAGGTGGCACACTTGAACCTCGTCACTGTCCGCGGATGATTGGCTAGAATAGTGTAGAGTACACCGACTATAGCCCGCTGTTGGACGAAGATCAGTCCTGAGCATTGTTCCGGCTCCTGACGTTCTAAGAAGGCTATCAATCGTTCGAGTTTGGGAGACAACTGACTCTGGAGGGACAGAATATCAGGCGCTTGGGTGAGCCCCTCTTCATTGAATGCATGCTGCAGTTGATATACCATCTTGTCTTCTTCTTTGATATAGAATGCCGACGCCTCCACAAGCTCAGCTTTTTTCCTTATCTTCTCAGTTGTACGAAGGACATAGTAGGCTGCTGCGGACGGCCCGAGCTCTTTATAGACATGTATCGCCTTGTTGTAAAACTTCCTGATCTGATCAGAGAAGTCCGTGAACGATCCTTGCGAAGTCGATCTGCCAGCTCTAGTCGAACTGGGGTCCAGTACTGAGGGAGCACCTGATGTTCTTTGTCC